CCTTTTTAAAATACTGTTCAGTCATACACCCCTTCTTCTTTTGGGCAACCTTTACTGGTTTACCCTTTACTGGTTTATCATCACTCATAAAAATAAGAACTATTTAGAAGAGCAAGGGTTGCAGGATCAGGCCTAGAAAGGAGGGTGAATGCCTTCTAATTGACATCAGTGCAACCCAGTGAAATTAATAAGTTTGTGAGGGTGTAACTGAGGGCAGAGTTTGAATAACAATTATACCAAAAATTATCCTTTGACGAGGTACAAGTCAATATTTTTAAACTTACTGAACAAATTTCACTGATCAAATATGAGTCTTGATTTTGTTTCTCGGAGCACAAATATTAGAAAAGGTTTTAACCATATATTTGCACAGGTGATTTTGAAATGCTCAGCAAGATCTTGTGCCCAGATTTTTAGAATCTATTGATTCCTGCATTTAAATTTATGGTGCATTTCACACTGTTCCCTGCTGTGGTCATCTTAAGGTCCTGGCTGCTCTGTCACTAGAAAATAAGCAATGAATGGCAGAAAACCCTTGTGCTTGTTCTTATCTATAGAATTGCAAACCTGAGCAGAGTTCTGTGCAAAGTCTGCTATGCTGCCAAAAGTAAAATTACAAAGGGCTGCACTCTGATATATTTATTTATATATTTTAATATATTTCTAATTTTGCAAAAGTCTTTTACTTAGCCACAATCACATCATATCTGAAATTATTTTATGGCTAGGGGCAAGAGTTGGGAGGCCATCTGTTCTTTCATATTGGCTGTCAGATGAGTACAACCATTTCATTCAGGTTTTGAAAGTGCCAAAAATAAAACAAGTTCCATACATGTTAATGACATTTACCAAAAAACAAAACAAAAAACAACTCTATTTAACCATTCCAAACCAAAAGTTTTAGCTTTTCAAATATATTCAAGATGTATTTATTACTATTGTCACTAGAAAAAACAATTGCATTCCAACTAGCAATAACAGGAAAAGTGGATGAAGGTCAAGACGTATCTGGTAAACTACATCTAGCTTTTATACTTGCTATTTTTAAAAACAAACCTTTAATTTTGAAATTCACAGCCTATCCACCATTACAAGCCCCTTCAGGGCAATGATCTATCAAGTTCTGACTGTCTCAAACTGTTTGTGCTGGATTCAGCATCTATCACTCCTCAGACTTGCTGCACATTCAGCCATAGAGACAAGAAACAATAATTTTCAATTAAGAAACCTGGAGAAGACTTGGGGACTTGATTTATGGTGCATGACTAATTATTGAAAAGCTAGCCTAATGAAAATTAAGCTGCTGGTTACTACAAAGATTTAACTTCATTTTCTTGAGGAGATGCTGATATGACCCGGAGTATAATTTATTGAAGTTTTATTATATATTTTAATATAGACAAAGACATATACATGATCTAATTATCATTTTTAAAATATGATTTTTTTTTACATTCTATACCCTAATGGAGCTTGTACTTCATATAAATTTAGACCTGAATTAAAGGCTTCTTGTTGCCTGAAGTTAAAGTGTTTCCTTGTGGATGGTGATGAAAGAGAGGAATATGAAGGAGGACATAACAGAAATTGCTTTTTAAGGCTCAGAGTATTTATAAGCAGAGGACACAGTATATCACAGAGTTGATACATGAAAAGCAGTTTAATACCTAATACTTTGTATGTAAAATTCTTCTTAAAATTTAAGTTGTAGGGAAAATAAACCAATGAAATTTGCAAATCTTTGGTAAACAACTATTATATTGATTTGTTTAGGTGTTTTTCCCTCCTTAGGAGCCTGATCCAAATCCCATTGAAATCAATAGAAGTCTGTCATAAATGACATTTGTTTCCTGCAAACAACATATTTTCAAAGGCCCAATTCTGCAGCTCTTATTCATTTTGAGTAATACTCATCTGAGCATTCTCATAAGACTACTTAACTGGAGGAAAGACTGCAGAATTAGCCTCTAAGTATGAAGGTCCTGCAGTTTACTCAGTGAAGTCACATAAAAAAATCAGAACACCATAAATTCTAGGACCCCAGTCACACAAATATTACACTGTATAAGCAGAAAAAGTTTACTCTTTGCAGCCTTACAATGTCTAATGCAAGCAAAACAATACAGTAGTTCCTATTTCTTTCAACCCACATGCTCACAGTTTACTCAACTTCAGCTAGGCTCCCTGAACCTATACAGACAAGAGAACATGAAACAATACATTCTTGTAAGTCACATTCTTTTGCAGAAGGAAACTCAGATAAATGTTTCCAATGTACAAATGAATCTATTCCTACAGCAAGAAACCAACCTTAATTTGGTGCATGTCATCTTAACCAATTCTGCTTCTGCATTAAACTTCTGCACACAGCCACTCAGAGGCATCTCAGGATACACAATATTGAGCATTTACAGGAAATAATGCAGAGAGAAATATCAAGGTGAAATGATGTAAGTGCTGGACTGGAGCAGCTGGCAACAAGACTGCACAGGATTGTCACCAAAGATACTAGTCAAGGAAGGGAAGACAAAAGGAAAGGAGGAAAAGAAAACTTGATTTATTCAGGAAACCACCTGTTTCTTCAGAAGGCCTTTATGTGGATCATTAGTTTATGGCTGGAAGGACAGCTGGTAGCCAGAAAGGGAACTGAATATAAATTAATTTCCTATCTGACCTTTTAGAAAAGTCTGGGTTCTGTTCAAGTCACAGGATAAATATGCAAAAAGAACAGGAGTACTTGTGGCACCTTAGAGACTAACAAATTTATTAGAGCATAAGCTTTCGTGGACTACTTCGGATGCAGAAGTGGGCTGTAGTCCACGAAAGCTTATGCTCTAATAAATTTGTTAGTCTCTAAGGTGCCACAAGTACTCCTGTTCTTTTTGCGGATACAGACTAACACGGCTGCTACTCTGAAACCTGTCAGGATAAATATGGATTGACAATGAAACTAAGGGTTTTCCTCTAGCTCCCTGATTCTAAGCTGCCTACCTAATTTTTCCCAACAGTTTCAACTGCATCCAATATTCTTCTTCTCTAAGTCCTGCCCCCTCCTATGCAGGTACCAAGGTCTCACAGTGGGGTCTCACAGTGCAGAGAGGAGCAAGACTTTGGAGATGCTACATAAAGTGCTCTTTGTACACTGCTGTGTAGTGAATGTTCAGTGGAGGGAAGAGAGCCATAGGTTCCTTAATCCTCCAGTTCTTCTTTGCCACAGATGGAAGTGACACAAGGGCCAAGGAGGCTACTTCAGCCATTTGGCCAAGTATTGATTGGCTGCTCTGTGGCCCAGGGGAGGGAATTTGTCCCTTCTTTCCCCAACGTGTTCAACACCCAACTGAGTTACTAGCACAAGCATTGGGAGAGTAGTTTGCTCTTACTCTCTCAACCATTGTGTTGTGCCACTGCATTCTGTTAAGCAGCTGCCATAATTCACCCCTGAGCTGGCTGTGTGTGAAGTGATTCAAACATGTATGGGCTGTAACCTTTGTAAAGCACTTCAGGATCCTTTGACATGAAAGGTTCTACTTCACTTTAATTTATTGGTAGGGTGGATATATAACTACTAACTACAATACCCTGTGTGGGTAAGGCAGCGGAGACTATTAGTTTGAAATGGCCTTGGAAAGATTATGCACAAATACAAATGTATAGACTAAAACAGGGTTTCCCTAATTGTGGTCTGGGGACCACAAAGTACATGCTGATAACTACTCTTCCTTATTTCCAGCTTCTAAATCATAGAAGGATATAGCAAAAATGGCCACTCCACATGCAATGCTTTCCTAATATTACTTGTCAATGTAATGGAAGGAATTACTGTATGTGTCACAGGAATGTTACACGATTGCAAATGGGAGGAAGGGTGATCTGCATAGTCATGAAGGGGAGGGGAGGGACTCCAAGCTATGGAGAACCCATATTCTAGGCTTCCTTTTGTCTCAGGATCCACCAACTTAGTCACATTTTCAGTACCAAATACAGCAGTTTATAGAGCACACTGTACAGTAAGAAAAGTCTTAGTCTTTGTTTTTAACTAAAACAAAGACCAAGAAAATAAGGCCACAATTCTAATCTCAAACACACTGGTGCAATCTTGTTGATTTAATGGAACTGCACCAGTGTAAAGTAGAGCAAAATGGGGCCCAGGCTCAGTCTGTCAGTCTTTCTTGCTTTGATGCTTTCTCCATGCCAATTTAGAGTAATCTCAAAAAATCTGTTTGTTGGGTAAGAAATGCAATCTGCTACACCTGAGAAGCAAATAATTATAGATATATAGTATGTTTACCACTTGATTATTCTGATAAACATGCCAGCTGTGTGATTTATTGTGATGTTACATGATAGGTTGGAAGTAGGGCTGTCAATTAAAAAAATTAATCGCAATTAATCGCACTTTTAAACAATAATAGACAGGGCCGGCTCCAGGTTCTCTGCCGCCACAAGCGGCAAAAAAAAAAAAAAAAAGACTGCGGCTTCGCGATCACGCCGCTCCACTCTTCGGCGGCAATTCGGTGGCAGGACCTTCGCTCTGAGAGGGACTGAGGGACTCGCCGCCGAATTGCCGCCGAAGCCCTGGACGTGCCAACCTAGTAGCGGCCGGAGTGCCGCCCCTTGGTACTGGCCGCCCCAAGCACCTGCTTCTTTAGCTGGTGCCTGGAGTCAGCTCTGATAATAGAATAACATTTGTTTAAATGTTTTTGGATGTTTTCTACATTTTCAAATATATTGATTTCAATTGCAACACAGAATACAAAATGTACTGTGCTCAGTTTATATTTATTTTTGATTACAAGTATTTGCACAGTAAAAAAACAAAAGAAATAATATTTTTCAATTCACCTAATGC